ACAAATTCCTGCACACCCGGTTATGCCAATATAGTTTTAATTATTAAACTAACATGTTTTTATTGTTTCCACAATTTTCTTTTCTTGTTGCAACAGAATGTGTTGGAAGAATAGGCCTGTATTTCGTTTTAGTTTCAAAATATTAGGAATAATCCAGTCTTCAGTAGACGGAAGAGAGAAAATCAGTACTCCTCTGTACCGGTTTAACTTGTTTGAAAGAAGATCGTATAATCCCTGAGCCTAATGGGGAGTGACGTACTTTGATTTAGCATTAAACGATAAGTTTGCGTCAAAGGATTTTTAAGTTTTTGATAACTCATTAACAACTCGCTTTCCTTGATTGGATGGATGGATGGATGGATGGATGGATGTGCATTACTAAATACACAGCTACATTCTTCAAATTTACTGCAAAGGCATATTTTTGATAATCCATCTATCCACCCATCTGGCACAAGTAGATGAATGGTTAGTTATGATTAATTATTAAGTCCAGAGAATGTACACAGAACTCAATAGTAAGAAGTCATTTGTTAATTATAATGTTTATAGTTTAGTTTTTTGTTTACCATAAATGATTGGATTGTTCACAAAAATAGGAAAGAGGAAGAGTTGGTTATAGAAAAGCACCACTTAACCAGTTTAACCTGTTTACTAAATGAAAGTAGATCACACAGTCCCTAAGTCGGGCACGGAGTGAAGTGCGTTCATTTAGCCTTAACTGGTAAGTTTCCATATAAGAATTTCAAATCTTTAAATAACTGTTTGATTACTCACTTTCCTTGATTTTGTGGGACATTACTAACTATACAACTTCATCCTTTTTCGCGAGGTGAGGGCTGAGGAGGGACATAGTAGCACTAAGTAGCACCACAGAGGCTCAACCAACCAGCTATCTGGCCATGAGCCTTTAGTAATAGTTAATTATTAATTTACACAAAATGTAGGCCTAAGCAGAATCTCAGTTGTGCAACATTTATAGTTACCTAGCGTGGTCATAGTTTTTTACTACAAAAGATAGTTCATAAAAGCAGGAAAGTGTCTAATTAGGGAGTTTGCGATATGGCCATCTTTTGGTAACAATCTTGTATAACNATAACGTAGTGCAAGCTGAATCCTTGGGTTCCTTTAAATCAGAGCTAGGTAAGATTTTAACAACTCTGAGCTATTAGTTAAGTTCTCCCCAAGCGAGCTTGATGGGCCGAATGGCCTCCTCTCGTTTGTATAGTTCTAATGTTCTTATGTTCTAATTGAAAGTATTTGGCTTTCACAATTCAGTTCCAAAACATTGAATATTACCTCTTGAATTATGAAGATGGTATTAAAACACATCAGATGTTTCCAACTGAATTTGTTTTCTTGAAATTTATTTTGAGAAGAAAGTAAATGAACTGAATTCAGGTGATTGAATTGTAAAAATGAACTTTACAAACTGTATGTTTTGGAACAAAAGTGTGAAAGCCAAATATTTTGCATTGATTATTTTACCAATGAAATTACAACTGAAATGTTTTCATTTGAAATATTCGATGTTTAAATGTATATTCACATTAAATTACAGCCCCAAATATTCACGCATTATTAAATGCAGTACTTTTTTATTGGATTAGTGTAATTCAACATGCTTTTTTGCATCAACGACTTCATCATTAATCAGTCATTAATCTACTTCCATACATCTGCAGTTTAATTTGAGTATCTTCCAAGAGAGTATATGCAAGTGGCGGATGCTTTAAATGCCTCACAAGTTTGGTCTCACTGGCAACAGTGGCTTCGTTGCTATAGCGACCCTCGTGTATCACAGACCGTAGCTGCAAGTGCGCCAAACAGCCCAAGCTAATGACTCCCAAATCATCCATTGCTTTTTTCATGTTACTCGCGTTGATTTTACGTTAAACACTACTTCCACCTCTGGAACCACAGTTTTTACAAACATTGCAAATCGCTATATTACTAGTTGTTGTTAAAAGCTTTAAACTTCCAGATCGCTGTTCATAATTCCCGCACGTGTAATAGCGGACTTGTCTGTATTACTCTTGGGGTGTTTCTGTTTGGTCAGCAGAGACCTCTGCAGGCCTTCCCTTTTCCTCATCTGATCCTCCTGACCCTTGTACATGGATAACAGAGAAACTTACTGCAAAGGCTTATGCATATTTTTGATAATCCATCTATCCACCCATCTGGCACAAGTAGATGAATGGTTAGTTATGGTTAATTATTAAGTACACAGAATGTACACAGAAACTCAATAGTAATGTTAATTATGATGTTTATAGTTTTGTGTTTTGTTTACCATAAACGATTGGATTGTTCACAAAAAAAAGGAAAGAGGCTGGTT